TTTTGTCAGTGGCAAGCAGAAAGTGGGTTGTGCTTGAACCCTAGAGAGGAAAGGGTCGTAGTGGAGTCGCAGTGAGGGCTCTTTCTCAAGAGGAGAGTGGGTGGGGGAGTTTCGGAGGGAAAGGGGGCGAGGGGGTGAAGGACGAGGAATGTTAAGGTTTCAAAAAATCATTCTGCTTCTCCGCAGGGAACCAGTTACGTTTTTTTTGCCCCTCCCCCTTCCTGCGCCTGATAAGTTTGGGGATTTTTTACAGGTGAACTGAGGTGATGCTTGAAGTGGGGCAAGAATCTCTTCGCCGCCATGATGTGCTCGATCCGCATTCAGAGTCGTTCCTGGCCTAGTTCCAGAACGAACTAACCTAAAAGGCTACATCGAATTATTGCCTCTTCACTTCAGAGTTCCTTCTGAATTTACATGACAGCAGTAGCTATTCTCTTGAATACCGTACTTTTCAGTTGTATTATCGTATAATGGACTATGTGTCGCTCATCGCCTTCAATGTACTGCCAATCATTTCAATACTGGTAATGAACTGCCTAATCATATCTACACTGCGACGGGTGGTAGCGGAAGATGCCCGAAAAGAAGAGGAATGCGCACGACTTGCCGACGGAGCATTGATGATTCAAGTACGTGTCAGCCAGATTACATTTTTTATAAGTCCGTGAGTTAGGGCTTTTATTGAAAGGTGCACGAGATGTCCGTCTCATCGACTCAATCCGAATGCGATGCTTTTTGCTGTGGTATTCATGCTATTGATCTGTGTAGGACCACAGGTAATGTATAGTATCGATTTGGTTTCATGTTCCTTGGCTACAGTCTACAGAACAGCGAAATCAATAAAACATGGAGCGTATGGATCGCTAATTCTGGGTCGCAACGGGGGCGAGTGCGACAAATTAGGCGTTGCAAGCTGGGTGGTGTACGCTGCATTCGCGTCCGGGACCCAACCCACTCAACGTGGCAGTGTTGCCGCGCGTTGGATCTCTCAACTCTCTTTCGTTCGTCTGCGTCTCTCAAGTTAACTAGTTCTCTCTGTGCGCGTCTTGTCAGCGGAGGATTAAACCGATTAACTGCGAAGATGCAGAGTTAAAAAAAGATGACTACGTCTTTGTCTGGTCAGCTAAGCTACGAAATACTTTGCTAGTTCGTGCAGTGCCACAATTCGGAAGTAATGTTCCATTGAACACACCATTGAACACAGGGACAACTAACATAGCTTCTTCCGCCGCGCAGCCAGCGGCAACTTTCACGCGACGCGCAGCTGAGCCTAACGCTACACATCCTCAATTTGGTGAAACGTCAGTGAGCTCTTTTCGCGATATGTCGCCTTCGCATCCTGTGCACTAGACTGGTACTTCTGATCTTGAACACATTTCTGTTCTTCATTGACCGGGTTTTCGGCTTTTCTTCAAAAAGCAACTTTTTCAAGCAGTCCCAGGATCAATCTCTATATTTCAGAGATTTTGTTCTTCGTCAAAGTCGTACTTACCTTTTCAGGCACCAGCTCGATTGCTATTTGATATATACGGACAATACCACGCTACAGCAATGCGTCTATGCCTCCTCACACAACAGGTGAGCAGTTTTTTACTTTGGTATCAAATGAGCTAAATTCCTTTTTCTTGTTTTTCTTATGTTCCCGGTTTTCCGTTGAAATCACCGTAGACTGTGTAGACAAGTCTGAGCCCCCCTGTTAACACATTACGACCCTGGGCGTCACCAGTTATGCATGCAGCAATTACCACATGTGAAGTAAAAGGGGACTACGCAAGTTAGAGCCCTCGGCAATCTAGGATGGAGCACAAGGAACCTTTCCAAGAGCGCTTTGAATGCTAGACGTGCGATAATGGGGGCAAAAGCCATCACCAGTTGCAAAATCGCTGGAATCGCGCAACCAAAGCGATTGCTGGGCGCCGACTTCCGAACGTGGTTCCTCAAGACAACTCCCAATTGCCTGTAATCCGCGTTTGGGGAGCAGGGACGCAAAGGCACATAATGCGCCAACATGCCACTCGAAAGTACAAGGAGGACACGTAGGGAGCTTCTGATTCAACCCTGACCATGCTTTTTGGGTCTGCTCACCCCCCGCCCCCCCTTAATATGCAGTAACCACGTTTATTGCTCGTGTGGCTGCGTGTTCTCTCGCCAGGGCACATCATTGGTTGAGGATTTTAGTCGACTCTATACGACCCCCCCTTCCCTTTTTTGGAGGGGTGAAATAGCACATGTGAAACAGGAAAAGCCGCGAGACAATACGACCCCCCCTCTACAATCAGATTTTCCCCAACTTCCTGCCCCTTTTTTCCAAAATTTCCCGAAAACTTCCCTACTTTTTACCAAAAATTTTGCTGTCGAGCGGGGGGGGGGCATATAGTACGTGAGGAAAACCACCAAAAGCAACCGCCACTCCCCAACTGCGCAAAACGTAAATACGACCCCTTCCCAACATGAAACGACGACCCCCCTTTACAACGTCCGTGAAGCGAGAAAAATCAACTATCAAAATAAATTTTTCCCAGCCCAAATACGACTCCCCCTCTCCTGGCGGCCAAATACGACCCCCCCCCTCTATTGGGGAGTTCCCCAACAACAACGATGTGCCCTTGTGCTATTGCCATAGCTCGCCACATGTTTTCTGCTCCTTTAGCTATCTGCTCTATAGGGTTTCGCAATAAGGATAGGACCATGTTTGATTTGAAAAGTGTCTGTTTTCGTTCGAAAAAGTGCGATTTGTTTTGAAAAGAATTCAGAAATACAGCTTTTATCAGCTATAGTCATATTTTTGCGTATTTCAGTTGGTTTTCTTGAATGCATCGCTGAATTTCGCCCTGTACTGTGTGGTGTCGAAACGATACCGTATCCTGATGCGACAAACAATCAAACGTCTTCTGCGAACATTTGAAGCCGTCGATTTCCCGTTGAAGATGAGTGGTGTACGGCATCAAAGCAAAAGTTCAACAGCACCGGCCACATCGATGGATGATCAGCATAGTCGAAATCTGGTGCTGATTCAGGCTGTCTAAGCTTACTGATTGTACATATAGGACTTCAATGAGTAATTGTTTAGTTTAGAGCAGTCCTTCAAAAGAGTCATATCGTGTAGTCTGTGTTAGTTCTGTACAAATCTTTCCCTATACATCATTCTGTTGCATTTTATCGACGACACGGGTACCTGTAGAATCGCATTATTAGATTGGTCGTCCTCCTCCTGGCATAATTCCTTGATTCATCACAGTCCTACGGGTGTTCACGAACCGCATTATCAAAGAGCTCCATCAATGGCTATTTCGAATTTCGAGTTTAGATTTCCGTCTAGACATAAATTGCATAGTAATCTTTCTCACCATTGATTGTTACTGTTGTACTACTGTGACTACTTCTTCTAACGAAATCATTTTGTTTTTTCCTAATTCTTTCGAAAAATTCGTCTGTGATGGAACTGAACTAATAAATGAGAATAAGAGCAACATATGGTTGAGGAACAGCTGCCTTTGCAAACCAAATAGGTTGTAGAAAAAATTCTCTGCTCTCAAATCTCATTTATACATACATGGACAGGTTCCATTTTTAGCCGATATTAGTATTCTTGATGCTGCTTGAAAGAATACCCGTCTAAAGATCCCTTTAAGGTTAATGCACGGCCGCTCTTCACACTCCAGTCTTTGGACTCGGCGCTCGCTCAAATTTGTGCGAAACTTTCCCGACGCAGCGTCATACTCTTGCTTTTTCCTACTGCTAGCAACTCTCATTCCGAGCTGGCGCTTCAAGAATCCGAGACCAACGAGGTCGTGACGGTTACCTTGTCAAGGCGTAAAGGTAAGTGTCCACAGATATCCCACGATGTGTAGTATTTAAAGACACATAGTACGCCCAACACACATTCGGGGTGTATGAGACTATCAGCCCCTCAGCTGTCGATGTGTCGTGGTCCCCCCGCCCAAACATGGCCCAGGAGTAATATCGGGCGTAGACCGTGAACACGGCTAATTCTTCCGTCATGCTCCGCCTTCCACGTCTTTCTGCTGGCGCAGTTTGGGTCCTCGTCCTTCATAACATCCGTCGTAAGCGCGCGTCGTTCGGCGTTGCGGCTCTTGGCACTTTGCCAAGTCCTTTAATTGCGCTTTCAACAAGTAAAACGCAATTTCCTGATGCGGATAACATTGGAGGTGCTGCAAAATAAGAACAGAAGATGATGACGAGGGTCAGAACTTAAAAGCAACTGTGCCACTTCTGCAACATCCCTCGTTTTTATTTTCGTGTTTCGTGGAAATACGCGAGAGCCGCGTATTTCCACGAAACATGAAAATAAAACGGCATACTCGTTAGTTTGATACAAGCAAAACGCAATTTCCTGATGCGAATAAAATTTTAGGTGTTGCTCATGCTTCAAAATCCATGTACAAGGAGATGAAGATGACACAGGCTAGAAATGAAGCACAACGATGTAAATGTAAATAAAACAAAATGAAAAAATCAAGGAAAGGCAAATTAGTTAAAATCGCCTGTAAATTTCTACGATCCGGCGCGAATCCGGCGCCAAAGCCATAGAAATACTTAGAACAAACGAGTGGGACGCTTGGGCTGTTTTTATTCTCATGTTTTGTGGGAATGCGCGGCCTCTGATGGATACTGCAGATGCAGATGCAGCCGAGTTGCTCTTGAGTTCTGGCCCTCGTCATCATCTTCTGTTCTTATTTTGTAGCACCTCCAATGTTATCCGCATCAGGAAATTGCGTTTTACTTGTATTTGAGAGCGCAATTAAAGGACTTGGCAAAGTGCCAAGGAGCCGCACGCGACACGCGCGCTTACGACGGATGTTATGAAGGACGGGAATCTGCGCCGCAAAAAGGTGTAAGGCGGAGCATGGAGGAATTAGCGTGTTTCACGGTCCTGTATCTCCATTCCTGGGCATGTTTGGGCGGGGGGACCACGACACATCGACAGCTGGGGGCTGATAGTCTCATACACCCTCAATGTGTTTGAGCGTACCATGTGTCTTTAATACGCCTAGCAGACAGAATTCGGCGCCCCTGAGCAGGCGCTGCGTGGCGCCTTTTCCAAGGAAGGTACCCTTATAGCGCCCTATCAAGCTGCAACATACCAACCTGCACGCCCACAATGTCCGACCGATGCTGATGCTCGTATCGCTTTTCTTGCGACTGTGCTAACGGAAAACTCGTCTAATGCTTTCTGAGTGCCTGCAGGACAAAGGCTTTTCTGCGGGTTTTTCACTGTTTCACTTCGCCTTTTCTCATTTTCCCCACTATCTTGCTACTATTTTGGACCGAATACCAAATAATCGTGCCTTATGCCTTTAGGCACTACAAACGTAGCCCAATGTCGATTGATTGCTCGCGCAATGTTTCAAGAAAACTAAATAAGCAACTTGAAAATCGGCAGACCCCCGCCATTTACCGCTCACTTAGTAGAGGGTTTCGAACTGAGGCGGGGTTTGTAGCTCATCCAGGAAGAGTTTACATCTCTACACTCCATATCATAGAGATGGAGAGGGTGCGGCTAGACTGTACTTCATTTGAGCGTGGAGGGGGTGGGGCCCATTCTGGATGGGAGTCAGGTGCATGGGTCACACCACAGAGGTTGAATAACGCAGGGCCCTGAACTATTAGGCCGGCCCATAAGTAATGGCGTTTTTTCTTGTCACACAAATTTTTATATGGAAAATGACAATTGTTTCCAATATGTTCTACACTACTT